GATTATTTTGAGAAGGGCTCTATAGGATTCAGCAGATTGCCGAAAGGCTACATGCCAGATAAAGGCTAAGAACTCCTAAACTAGTCCAATCCTTTCATTTTACATTTGAAGAAATGAAAGCCCATAGAGGTTAAGTAATTTGCCCAAACTTTCATCAGCAGCAAGTTTCAGAGCTGTGATGTGAATCCACATCGTTGGGTTCCAAATTGAGTGTTCTTTCCACTATGCCATGGTACTTCGATATTTGTTGAATAAATAAAGAATGAGATGCTATTAACCTTCATCTAACAAGAAGAAACTGAGGCACAGGAAGGTATATTGTGGTTTTCTGCATTTCTTATACTATTCCATTAGAGGTTTTGAAAACACAAACCACCATCCATGTCTTTTTCCCATAACTCTTAATGCTCATAATATAGAATTTCTATGACGATAACAAGTGAACAAACCATAGAGATATTGGTACAGTATGTGTTAGAAGCACACTGTTGCGTTCAGAATGTCTCTATTTAAATTAGTTGAGTAAAATTATGGTCCATGGTTATAAGTAGCTTGGTGACAATTTCTGGGAGGTCTAATAATCCTACATTAACCTTTCTCCAGTTTGGTACTTTCTAAACTCTCAGTAAGTCTAGAGGTACTCATTGAGACCAGAATTAAGTATGAAAGTGGGACACACAATGATTTAACAGGATTAGATGAAGGAGAAGAAAGTACCCAAAGCTTCCAAGTATTTAACCTCCTCCATTCCTCCTTCTCAACCTGAACCCCCAGTCTCTCTCCTTTGTACTGCTAATCTACCTCTCTGGCCCTATTCTGTTTAAGACTGAGTCTGGATTGCCTTGTTTTCCTTTATCCTACTGATTCTGACCTCTAGCATTCCTGGCTTTTCTTTGGCATCTTGGTTCTGTTCCCTACTGTTGAATATTTGAGTATACTTCTTAAATACTGTGTTTGCTTCAGCCCAGATCCTAAGCTCTGTTTGTGACCCATCTAGTATAAGGTCCTGACCCTGATTAACTTGTCTTCATGACTCCCAATAAAGGTCCTTCACCTAACAAAGTGGATGAGGGAGAAGGACCATGAAAGAGAACAATCAAAATTTTCTTAAGATGGGGAAAAAATACACTTTATACTTCATTGCCCAAGAAAAGTCTTAAGTGTCTATTCAGGGACAGAATTGAAGAGATACAGATTTCTAGATTTGGAGCTGGAAGGAAATTTGAAAGTGATCTTGTCCAATGCCTTTATTGTATTGATGAGTGATTGGCTCAGGGTCACCTAGGTAATAAGTGACAAAGATAGTAAGTACCTGAACCCACATCCTCTGACTTCCAATTCAACATCTATCTCACTGCACCAGGATTGCCTCCCTAGAAGATAGAGTCCATCCTTCACCAGCTTCAGACTGGACCACAATTACCTAAACCATCCTAGACAGACGAGAATCTGTCATTTTTAAAGACTTCATGAGAAGCAGATTCCATGATTTCTTCTAGTCACTTATTTCAGTACATAATAACCCACACTATCAGGAAATCCTTCCTCATGTCTAACCTAAGTCCTTCCTACTACAATTTCTGTCCATTTCCTTTTGCTTGAAGCTCAGAGGAGATAGAAAACAGCTGGTCGCCATTCTGGGTGTAAAAGTCGTTTCTGTCCTGAGGACTATTACACAATCGCCCTTCAGTTTGCTCCTCCAGCCTCCAGGTGCTAACCACATGCAAATCATCTGCCAATTGGTATGCAAATGCAGATATGTTGCTCTTCCCTATTTTACACACCTGGATGGTGACCTGGGAGAGTTGAAGTTTTCTTCTCTCAAGGACCTAGAGAAAATAAACGGGTCAAAAGCATTCCACTTTTGTGTGTGTTTGTGTATACCTGGAAAAATCTGCAAGACTAACTTTTGAGTGTCCTCTTTATGCCGAGTGGAAGTTAAAAAGTAGCCTACTGTTAAGTTAATACTTCTGAGCCCAGCATCCAAGAAGAGAGGATAAGAACGCTACTTCCAAAAAAAAAAAAAAGGAAAGAAAAAAAGCAGAATTATTGTGGCAGCTGTGGGGCTCTTAATAGGGCTTTGCTCACAGTCAGGCCACTTATAACTTTGCTATTAAAAAGCTAGAATGAGCATTAAACAGCTCCCAATTAAGAGGTATATTATCAACTCAATGCACAGAGAATAATGCAAGCAAGTCTCTACATGGAGAGAGAAAAATGCTGTATGCTAGATGGCTTTTTTTTAAATACAGAAGTTAAAAGTGCCAGGCAGTAGGTGAAGAACTACTGAAAGTTATATTTTAACATAAAGGGAAAATGAGAAAAAGATTTGCCAGAGAGGGAGTGGGGAAGAAGAGGTGTGTGTTAGGTGGGTGGGTGGGTGTATGTTTGTATTTCTATCAGTCTTCCTCTGTTGAATATCCAGAAATGTGATTCTTTTGGATGGAGCTGAAGCAGGGAAAGAGGCTGTAAAGTTAAAGCATCATCTTATAAAGCTATCTTGAAGATATATCTTTATATACCCTCACAGCACCTTCTTACCCATATGGAGCTCTTTATATACACCTTGGATAGAAAACAATACAAAGCCGTTACCTCTCTGTGAAATGCATTTGTTATATTTAGTGCCCTATGGAAACAGCCCATTTATATCTCAGCTGATCAGGAAAGATTTTCAAATATCATAAATTCTTGGTCTGGCCTCTGAAAACTTCAAAAAGTCTTTATTGAGGAAGGTCTTCAGAAATAACAATTGAAATTCCACTCACATCAAGGGCTTCTCTTCAAGTAATTCGACATTTGCCACAAAAAAAAAATGGCGTAGGTTTTAGAGAGACCACTATTAGGAAAGAATATCTGTCATGATGGAATAATAATAGCTAATAAAAGATTTCAAGTATACAGAGCATCTTACACATATTATCTCTTTCCCAGCAATTCTATGGATGGATGATATCATAGTCCTATTTTACAGTTGAGGAAATGAGCTGAGAGGTGTTAAATGACTTATTCAGAGTCACACAGCTAGCAAATATCTGAGGTGAGATTTGAACTCAGATCTTCCAGAGTCCAAGTCAAACATTCAATCCAGTAAATCAAGCTGCCTCCCAAAGTTTCCATTTGCTTGGTGCTTCTCTATTGCCTAACTCTATCTTGTCTATATCCATAATCTTCCTTCTTCCACCTTTAATAAAAAGACTGTATAAATAAGCCACCCACCCCCTTTCCCAACTGCTCCTAATTTCTGAACCTCTCTGGTTGCCAAGTAATGGTTATCATTGCCAAACTCCCTGTGTGGCCTCTGCATTGCCTGACCTCAGCGTTTCCATCAGTCTTCATCCTCTCTTTCAATTAAAGAATACTGAATCTTGTGAACCATCTTCTACTGAAATGATTTTAATATTTCCTATTTTAAGTGTGAGGCGTTTAAAATAAAAAGAACCAAGTTTAAAATTTGAAAACTATTATTCCTAAATTCTAGAAGCAGCCTAGGATAGTGGAATCAGAGTCAGGGAGAAAGAGATGCAAATCCTATCTCTGACACTTAATAGCTGTGTAAATTCAGACAACTCCCTGGGATTGATAATAGTCATAACAGAATTTAAGTCTGTTTTGGTAGAGGGAGTTCCCACAGTAGGATTCCCCACATTAATGCAATCAGAAACATCTTCATTTTTTCTGTGTATTCTAAGAACTATTTGTATTTCTAAAATGCTCAGAGAGATGTTGGACTGTGTAGTACAATAGTCAAACTAATAGGTCAAACTCACTGTCAGAGTGAGGAAGAAAAAAATGTCTAAAAGCTGTAGAAGAACTTTTAAAAGAATGATTAATTTGGAGGTTTGTACACATATTAAATTTTTATTATATGTCTGGTGCCTAAAAATATTTATAAACTATTATAATGAGTGTCAAATGACATCACATTCACTGAAACTGATCAAGTGAGCCAGGAGGGGTTTACCTGCCAGTACTGTAGTGATAGAATAACCATTTAATCTCATTACCAAAAGATCTGGGAAATGATTTCTCCTCTGACAATGGCCCCCACCCCAAGTTTATGAAAAATGGAACTTAAGAATACAAACAGCCTCTCTCTCTCTCTCTCTCTCTCTCTCTCTCTCTCTCTCTCTCTCTCTCTCTCTCTCTCTCTCTCTCTCTCCCTCCCTCCTCCTTCTTTCTCCACTTTCATGTTCTGTTTCTTTAATAAGAGAACACTGGAAATGCCCCTTGAGCTGAGGTCGGCCTGTTGGTAAACCTGTTATCCATCACAGTAATTCATAGAATCTGGCACGTACCAGATGGACAATATCCCATTGTTTAAAGGATGCTTTCTCCATCTTGGTTATTGATATCAAACAAAAGTCAGGCTTATGTCTACATAGCCTCATGTGCTTATAAAGTTCTCTTTCAGAGAATATGACTGCTATTCCTGAAAGTCCCTGAAAATGGGGAAAACAGTCTGGGACACAGGACAAGCTGGGGATGTCAAAAGGAAGGACTATATGAAAGTGGCATCCGTTTAAAAATGGAACACTACTGTACCTTCTTAAAAAGCAAAGAAACTTAGTTCTCCTCTCTCCCACTCCCCTCCCTACCACCTCAACCCCTCCCCCTCTTATCGCCAGTTAAAATGAACTGTCAGAGCTTGGATAAAGATACAAACAGGATTGCATACCTTACCAAGCCTACAGTGACTTGGAGACTTTGATCTAATTCTATTTGCTACTTTATGATGCATGAAGCTGTCAGATAAAGAGGTGTTCAAAAAAAATCCACTTCAGCTGTCAGGGCTGACAAACCCTGTGATGGATTACAGAGAAAACAAAAGGGCTACCACCTTAACCACAAACATTTATATCTTTTTTTCATAAGGGTGCTTCAATCAACATGTAGTTACCAGGGTGCAGGTTCTTTCGAAGCCTGTAGGAACACAGAACTAGTGACATATGTTGAAATAGCATTTTTAAAAGTACAACACACTTGCACTGAGCCCGAATATGCTGCTGACATGGTATTGTAATCTTCCTCTGATCAAAGGTAAGACTCCCACAGTTTCCCACATAAATGTAAAGATTATCTTTTCTGATAAGCAGTCTTTGCTTTTTTAAAACCCCTTTGCAATACTACGTAAAGGTTCAAACTGAAAAGTAGTTAAAAGAGAGTAGGGAGGTTTTTACATATATGTGTGTATACATACATATATGTGTGTATACATGCTCATGCATGCATATGTTGGAATTCACTTGCAGAATTGTAGACACAATAAAGCTGTTCATGGCAAAAATTCACAGGGTACAAAAACTCAGAACTGGAACCATAAAAGGCATCTGGTCCAACCTGTAGCTGACCAAGAACCCCTCCTAGACCACCCTCAACAAGTAGTTGTCTACTTTGCCTCCAGTGAAGGAAATATCATTACCATCTGAGGCAGACTTTGGACACTGGACAGCCTTTAATTGTTAGGGAGTTCCTTCATGCATCTGCTTATCAGCAATTTCCACCGTTGCTCCTACTACTGTCTTCTGGGGCCAAGCAGAGAAAGTCTAGTCCCATTTCCATATGACAATCCATCAAAGACCTGATGACAGTTTTCATAGCCCTCCCACTTCTTATCTTCTCTAGGCTGAAATTCCCTAGTTCCTTCAATCTATCCCACTGTGGCACATTCTCTATAAAATGCAAGCATAGATAATTAAACTTCACGTGTTTCTTTTCTCTTAGAATTAATTGTCTCATTGTTGAGTGACAAAAAGAAATCTAGGAAGCTGGCTGCTTGGTGGTGCAGTGAATAGAGTGCTGGACCTGGAGTCAGGAAGAGCTGAGTTCAATTCCAGCCTCAGACACACACTGGTTGTGTGATCCTGGGAAAGTCACTTAATCTGTGTTTGCCTGTTTTCCCATTTCTAAAAAGGGGGTGATAATAACAGTGTCTACTTCTCAGGGTTGTTGTGAGGATCAAAGAAGATAATCATAAGGCATTTAGCACAGAGCCTGGAAAATAGTAAGCGATACATAAATATTAGCTATCGTAGGAAGCTAGAATAAGAGAATTTTAAAGCTGGAAAACGCCTCAGAGAGCCTTTCAGGAAGGAAGGAAGGAAGGAAGGAAGGAGGGAAGGAGGAAGAGAAAAAGAAAGAAGCAGAAAGAAGTTAATTACTCAAGATAAGGTGTCGACTTCAAATAACCACACCAGTTTGAAATAATTATTTTGAGTGAATGTTTCCTATAAGTTCTTCCAAACCTAAAAATTGATACTCATGCCTTTTTTTTTTCCTGCCCTATAGGAGACATGGTCACTTCAAGAGAAATTCTGAGTTCATCTTCTGGTGGTTCTGGTGGTGAAGAAATAAAGTAAGTCATAATGAACTCTCCATTTTCCATGTTAATAGTTGACAAAACTAACTGAGAGATCTATGATCTATATATTATCATCACATCTCATTTTGCTCATCCATCCCTCACCTTTCTTCTTCCCCAACAATCCTTGTTTATAGAGTGGATGGTGTAGGAACATAGATTTAGAACTAGAAGAGACCTTAGAAGTCAAAAGTCCAACTATTTGCCTGTTTTCCCATCTGTAAAATGGGGATGATGATAACAATAGTACCGACCTCTCAGGGTTGTTGTGGGGATCAAAGAATGTAACAATCATAAGGCATTTAGCGTCCCCATTTTGCAGATGAGGAAACTGAGGCCCAGAAACTTAAGTGATTTAAAAATTTGCAGATGAGGAAAGTAAGGCCCAGGGTTGCACAGCTAATAAGTACCTGAGGTGGGATTTGAACTAAGGTCTTCCTGACTCTGTCTATTCCCTATATTTTGCTGCCTCTCAAAATGAAATGATTTGAGCTTCATTTCTGTTCCTGGATTTTGCTTACCCTTCAGTAAAATGAGAATGTGTAGTTAAATGACCAAAAGAAAACAGAAGAACTTTGTGTGAGGTCTTCCATATTGTTTTGTGCTTCTTTTTAATCTTCTACAATGTCTTCTATTTAGCAGGCATTAAATAAATATTTTTTTTTAAATCCACAGATGGGTGATGGAAAAATGAGGCCAAGGTAACAATTGAAGCCTAGAATGTTCAAACTGGGAGGGACCTTTGGGGTCATCTAGTACCACCCCTTCATTTACAAATGAAGGAACTCAGAGCCAAGGAGGGAAAAGGAATTTGCTCGAGGTCAGAAGGCCAGTAAGTTGTTGCAGCAGAACTTAACTTGAGGTCTTTTAACTCCAGCCCCAATTCTCTCCATGAACCATATGATTACTGAAACTAGATAATTAGCTTTGTGAGCTGGAGATTTCCAGTTCATTTCAAAGGACACATTGAACACCCCTTTATTCATTAAACTATCCAATAACCAGACACAGGGGATGCGGCCTGGCACTGCTCTGTGACAAATTTTGGTTGGCCCACAAACCTTGTAATACCAAGGTTCCTTGCTTCTTAAAACTTATAAAAAGGGGAAGGAGGGAGAAGATTCTTCTTCCCCTTCTCCTTGAATTCTGCTCTTTCTACTCAACCTGAGTTCCCTCTGCATCCTAGCCTTTGTTCTTTCTCTTGAGCTACTAACAGCCACAATGACAAGGAGGGGAAGAGTGGAGTATTCTGTGGCAGAAAATTTTAATATTTTACCAGGCATCATTTAGATTCCTTAAAGGTAGGCACTATGAGGTTTATAATTTGGGGAGGTGTCATAGGGCTTAAACCAATGAGGATTTCTCATTCTATTTTTTTTTGAGTCAACTGGAGTTAAGTGACTTGCCCAGGGTCACACAGCTAGTAAGTGTCTGAGGCCAGATTTAAACTAGGGTCAACCTGACTCCAAGGCTGGGGCTCTATCCATTGCACCACCTAGATGCCTCTTTCACTTTTTTTTTTTTAAGCAATTGGACATCTGAAAGTTTCTCCCAGTGTGAAGGGACTCTGTAACAATTTATAGTCTGGGAGAATTGCCTGGGGACGCTGCAGAGTTAAATGACTTTCTCAAGGACATGCAACCTGTTTATCTCCAGAAGGGACTGAACCCAAGTCTTCACCTTCTGAAGCTAAGCTCCATTGCCTCTCAACTGACTTTTTTTGAAAAAGCCTGAGTAAACAGACAACAAAGAAATAACTTCTTAGAAGTTAAAAGGAGATTTGGAGAATCCATTTGAAGATCCTCATCTGGTAGCTTGTTTGTTTTTCCCTCCAGGAAAGACCTACTGATTAATAAAAGGAAGAGTTCATCATCTTAATAAGGAAGAAATTCAGCATATTAGAACTTCTTTACCCTGTGAGACAGCTAGGTGGTACAACGGATAAAGTGCCCAGGCTGAGTCAGGAAGACTTGAGCTCAAATTCATCCTCAGACACTTGCAAATTGTGTGACCTTGGCCTCTGTCTGCCTCACTTTCCTCAACTGTAAAGGGCCAGGAGGGGAGGAGGGGTCAGAATAACACCAGCTTCCCGGGGCTGTTTTGAGGATCAGATGAGATAATTATAAAGCACATGATTCTATGTAAATGCTTATCTCCTCCCACCCCCAAGCGGTATCATATCTCACTATCAGCAAATACATATTACCAGATGATCTCTGAGGTTCGTTCCACTTTTGACATTTAATAGGGTATAGCAATATGGATTGGATCTGTGATTTCACTGGCAACAGGAATTCCCAGGTGAAGAAATTCTCCATTGTAGATTGACACCTTCCAGAAGTTCAGCTTTTATTATTAAAGTTGCCAGGAGAACCGAGAAGTTAAGTTAGAGGTAAACTGAGTTACTTAGGGTCACATAGGGAGCATATTTCATGATAGGACTCTAGCCAGGTCTTCTTTTAGTGGCCAGAGCTCTGGGCCTGGAGTCAGGAAGCTCTGAGTTCAAATGCGACTTTAGATACTTCCTAGCTGAGTGACCTTGGGCAAGGCACTTAGTCTGTTTGCCTCCATTTCCTCAACTGGTAAAATAGGGATTGTGAAGGGAATTATAATAACATAACATATAATCATAATAACACCTATCTCTCAAAGCTGTTGTGAGAATCAAATGAAATAGTATTTGTTAAGTACATAGCAGTGTCTGGAACATAGTAGGTGCTTAATAAATGCTTATTCCCTTTCCCTTCTTGGTTTTGAGGTCAATTCTCTAACCACTAACTATGTAAGACTTCCTGAGATTCCATAATTCCATAAAATACTTCCTGGAAGCTGGTGATATTCTTAACAGCTCACATCTTCTGAAGGAATCAACTCCCTCTGCCATTTATTTGTCAATCAAGTAACTATTGAGACTCTGTGCACAGTGCAGCCGGTGGTGGGACATTGGGGGTGGGGGGTGGGGGTAGATAGAATAGAATACTCAGCATGGTGGCTAGGTATGCAGTGGGTAAAGTACTATTCATGCTCCTAATAGCCGACGTTTATAATGGCCCTATAAGATGTGTAAATCACTATACACATTATTACCTCACTCCTATGAGGTAAGTAAAATGATAATGGGTAACAATGATAATAGCATCTTGTGATTTGCAAAGCATTTCCTTCCAATAACCCTGCAAAATGGTGCTATTATTACTCCTATTTTACAGATGAGGAAACTGAAGCACAGAGAGGTTAAATGACTTGCCCAGGGTCACATAGTCAGGAAATATTTGAGGCAGGATGTTGAACTCTGGTCTTCTTGATTCCAAGTCTATCTGCTGACTAATGTCAGAAAGATAAGTCACTGAATGGCAAGTATCAGGGCACTGTGTGCAGCCTGAGAGTGGCAGGAAGAAGGAAGGAAAGAAGCGTGTATGAGCATCCACTATGCTCCAGGGGCTTTACAAATGGTATGAGATTTGATCCTCATAATAACTTTGGAAGGTAGGTGATCTCAACTGATGCTTGTCATTCAGTGACTTCTCCTGAATGGACAGCCTGGCAGTGGGGGCAAAACTGTGACCAGAACAGCGTAGACTGGTACTCAATGAGAAATGATAAAAAGCTAGACAATCATGTTTTGACACTTACAGTTTATCTGAATTTTGTGCCACTGAACTCACCTTTAGAGGTGAGATCCTCTTTTGGAAAGAAAGTACCTGGGGGGGCACTGGGCAGCCTAATTCAGTGGATAAAAGCTGTGCTATTTTAGTTACTGTAGTGGATCGATAAAAGAATTAAACAAGGGCCCTGCCTTCAAGCTGGTTTGTAATCTGTTTGGGGGGAAGAGGAAAAAATCAATACAATTCAATAAACCTGCATCAAGAGCTCATTATGTTTGAGACACAGGGGCAAAAGGGACAAGTGAAATGGCTGAGCTATATACTTACTGAAGAAGAAATCAACAAATGGAAAGGGATTTAGTATGAACTGAGCAGATGAAGAGCGAAGGGATGTAACAGCCAAGAGACAGTCAATCCTAGAAGACTTCCTGAAGGAGGTGAATTGTGAACTAGTGTTTGAGAGACTCAAAGAATATTGAATTTATTCTAATCCTTTGCCTGACTTCCAGTAAAATCTATTCTTCCCTCCCCCCCCCCATCACTTATTTCCTTAGCTGACTACACTTCAATTTTTGGTTGACAGGTTGCTGTTGTTTGCTCAGTAGCTTTTCAGTTGTGTCTGACTCCTTGTGACTCCCTTTGGGGTCTTCTTGTAAAAGATACTGGAGTAGTTTGCTGTTTCCTTCTGAAGCTCATTTTACAGAGGAGGAAACTGAGGCAAACAGGGTTAAGTGACTTGCCTAGGGTCACGAAGCTAGTGTCTGAGGCCAGACTTGAACATGGGAAGATTAGTCTGCCTGACTCCAGACCTGGCATTCTATGTACTGTACCACCCTACCTGCCCTTCTGTCAACAAGATTATATTTAAAACTATATGACACTATGAAAGGTGCATATAGTGACAGTTTCTACAAGAAATCTCAGATTAATTCTCAAAAGCACTGAGCCACCATCCCTTCTAGTTAGGTTATGATAAGCCTTCCTTATCATAACCTTGCCTTCCTTAAATACCAAAAGTGGTCTGACACAGGCAGTTACAGCAGGACACAGTGAACAGTTTTGAATTTGCTGGCAGACAACCTGGGTTTGCTACACATTTTGCTATTTACTGTCTGTGCCACCTTGGGTAATTAATTTTACCTCTCCAGACCACAGTTTCCTTCTTTGTAAAATGCAAAGGTTGCACTAGGGCATCTAAGTGTCACAGAGAATAGAGTGCAAGACCTGGGATCAGGCAAGCTTATCTTCTTAAGTTTAATCTGGCCTCAGACACTATCTATGTGACCCTGGGCAAGTCACTTAACCCTGTTTGCCTCAGTTTCCTCATCTTAGAGAAGGAAATGGCAAACCACTCCAACATTTTTGCCTAGAAAACCCCCAAATGGGGTC